TTTAAAACCGGAACTGTCTGTCGCCCAAACACAAATCCGCTTTCCAAGTACAAGTAAATCTCGATGGCTCACATCTACAATTTCATTACCGTTTACCTGTTTTTCTTGCCAAACAAAGAAGTGTACAATAGTGTTCTGGTGTATAAATTTTCCCTTCTAGCTTCTCAATGAACCGACGTTTTGTATGTGTCGATTCACTAGAAATTTGTGTTATGCTTTTTATAAAGTGCATAATGATAAGCGATTCTTTTAAATACTGAAGTACGCGTGTGCCAATCTCATTAACTGGGGTGCAATGTTAGCTCGCCTCCACGTGGTGCACCCTGGGTAACGCTAAAGAGCTAACAACACTTGGCAGCCAGACAATCATCTGATCTCCTGGCTACTAGTACATTGTCAACCATCAATATTACAATGCCCACCAACATGAAGAGAAAAGGACCTTCTCAGGACCACAAGACAAGAAATCTTGGTCCTATTATCAAGATTTGCCAAATAAATATAGAAGGAATAAGCTGGGCAAAATGCCAAGTATTACATAAGATATTAATTGATAACGAAATCGACCTCGTTGCTGTACAGGAAACGCACGCAGAGAATGTGGATCAAATTAACCGGAGAGGTACAATACCTGGATATGACTTGGTGGGTGCGACATACCACCGTTCCTATGGAGTAGCCACATATGCCCGATCGGAAGTTGAAAACGTTCATTTATGCTCAGCAACGACACGCAACAACATACACGAAGTTGTCGTTAAAATAGGAGAACTCTCAGTGAGCAACGTGTATAAGCCCCCAGCCTGTGGGTGGCCCCAGGACGTATTGCCGGGTCTACCACACCCAGCCACGTACGTTGGTGATTTCAATAGTCATCATACCCAGTGGAGATACAGAGCAGCCGACCAGAACGGAATGGACCTCACTAACTGGGCAGAAAATAACAACATGTTCTTAGTTTTTGATCCAAAGAGCCGGGGAACTTTTAGATCGGCAGCCTGGAGAAAGGAATACAATCCGGACCTCTGCTTCGTGACAACTGACCACGAGCAGTTACCTTTAAGAACAACAAGAGAGGTACTAACCGACTTCCCGCATAGTCAACATCGCCCAGTCTTAATCAAGATCGGAACCAGCATCCCACTGGTGACGTCCTTACAACGCCCAAGATGGAATTTCAGGAAGGCGAACTGGAGTGCTTACACTGAGAGACTGGAGAAATGCCTGGGATGGATCCCACCAACTGCAAACAATTATGAAAGATTTATTGGTGCAATTAAATCCACTGCTAAAGCTACCATCCCAAGAGGATACCGAAGACAATACGTACCTGGCTGGAATGACAACTGTGAGGACCAATACCAGAAGTTCCTCAAGAGCGGAGATCCGGAGATCGCCGACGGCCTGCTGCATAGTCTGGACGTCGCACGTCGGGAAAAATGGAGGGAAACAGTTGAGTCGCTTGACTTTAAGAGATCAAGCAGCAAGGCATGGAGCCTCCTTAGAAAACTAGGTGGAGCCAGCAAAACTTGCCGTGGCACCCCAGATATCTCTGCAGATAAGGTTGCATCGCACATTCAGGTGACAACCAGAGCCCCTAGAGACAAGAATCATACAAAAAAGATACGACATGAACTTAGTGCTCTAAAATCGAAGATCGGACCAAATGATCAGTACTCCTCCAGTTTTACGGCCCTCGAAGTCACAGAAGCATTAAGGAGCGTAAAACGCGGAAAGGCACCTGGCCCCGATGGGGTACACCCGGAGTTCCTTCTTCACTGTGGGAGGTATGCCAAAAAATGGCTTGCGCAATTCTACTCAAACATGCTGCAATCGGGCCACATACCACAGAAAATGAAGAATTCAAGAATAATAGCACTGCTGAAGCCAGGAAAACCCAGCGACCAACCAAAGAGTTACAGGCCAGTTGCGCTTCTCAGCACTGTATACAAGCTACTAGAGAGGCTCCTGTACAACAGACTGAGCCCAAAAATATTAGAATCTATACCAATCGAACAAGCGGGTTTCAGACCAGGAAGAAGCTGCACAGACCAGGTGCTTTCCCTAACATCTCACATAGAAGCAGGCTACCAAAAACGCCAGAAAACATCGATTACCTTTATAGATTTAAGCTCTGCTTACGATACTGTTTGGAGGCACGGCCTGCTATACAAGCTAATCCAAAAAATTCCATGCAGCCATGCCATTCGTCTCACCGACAATATGCTCGCAGGGAGAACTTTCAATGTTGTAATTGGAGAGAGGACAAGCAGAACAAGAACACTAAACGATGGACTGCCACAGGGCTCAGTTCTCGCCCCACTTCTGTTTAACCTCTACATTTCGGATATGCCAAACACACAATCTACAAAATTTGGATACGCAGATGACTGGGCTTTAGCCGCTCAACACGAGAAGTTCGAGACCACTGAAAAGACTCTTGGCTCCGACTTAAGGTTGATGAGCGACTACTGTCACAAATGGAGAATGCTGCCCAACCCCACTAAAACAGAGGTGTCATGCTTCCACCTTTGTAACCAATCAGCGAAGAGAGAGCTTACCATCAACTTCGAAGGAAAACGCCTCAACCATAACAACCACCCCAAATACTTAGGAGTCACACTGGACAGGACGCTCTCCTACAAGGAACACCTGATAAAGACCGCAAGCAAAATGAGAACAAGGACTAACATCATTCATAAATTGTGTGGTACCACCTGGGGCTCCTCAGCGGACACGCTCCGTATATCGGCAGTCGGTCTTGTCTACTCTGTGGCGGAATACTGCGCACCAGTGTGGATTAACAGCCCGCACACTGAGAGAATCGACACTGTACTGAACGACACAATGCGCATAATCAGCGGCACGATTAAGTCCACACCAATTGCTTGGCTGCCTTTCCTGAGCCACATACTGCCACCTGAAATTCGACGTAAAAACAGCCTTGTTAGGGAGTATCAGAAAATAAACAATAATACAGAGCTACCTATACACAATGAAATAGGCGATCTAGAGCGCAAACGACTGAAGTCGAGGAAACCAGCGCTAATCACCGCTAAAGAGCTGTTGGACTCAAATTTTAACGCAGCGAACGCCTGGCAACAAAGATGGCAGGAACAATGCCCATCGCACTTTCAAACTTTCCTTACTTCAGAGAAGGTTGCTGGATCTGACTTGCCTCGAAAAGTGTGGACTACATTGAACCGAATACGTGCTGGCCATGGCAGATGTGCTGACGCTCTTCATAAATGGGGATGGATAACCTCGCCAGAATGCGACTGCGGGGCCAATAATCAAACAGTGACTCACATAGTGAAAGATTGCCCAAACCGTGCCTACCAAGGACCTATCACTGATTTTATGACTGCAACAGAAGAGGCGATTGATTATATTAAAAATTTAGACATAAAATTGTAACATCAATATCTATATGCTCTGAGAACATATAATAGCATAGCACAATGTACGCCATACGATAAATAAATAAATAAATCTCATTAACTTCTCTGTTACATTCGGTTTCATGCCAGACATAATATTTAGCTTCTTTAGATTTCAAATTATCGAAAGTGAAAGTATACTCAGATAATGTCGAGGTATAATAAAAACTTATAATAAAATTTTGTTTCAAATTATTTTTGTCCTGCTCTTTTTCCAGTTTTGTCAGGATTCGCTCTTTAAGAATCAATTAACGACTAAATTTATCATGAATAGTGAAAAAGTGATAGTTAAAAAAAAATGCTTTTATCTATAAAACATTCTCATATGGAAATGATGCCCCTTAATAAAAATTATGTACTTTGTATTGACTATTGAATTAACCAGTCACATCATCTCCTCTACAATCGATTCGTAACTGAAAATGTGACGTTCTTCTTCCAAATGGTTCATACTACGCCGTCTCGTGGTAAATATCGATAATTAAATTGTGCCTTTTTTTCCAAGGAATCTAGTATGGTTTTGGAACAGTTTCATGCATATAACTCAAAAACGCAATTTTTTTAATTGTGTCACTCTTCTTCCAAGAAGGCGATTTAAGCGGAAGGTCGCTTTTGCGAAATGGGAGTTGTAAACAAGCAGCTCCAGTTTTTCCCCGCCCGCTTGCGTCCCCCAGACGCGGCCGTCGATCGAAACGGACCATCCCTTAATTAAGCTCCACATTGTTACGAAGACATTTAATTTCGATAACTACATGGCGTCGACTGCCGTGATCAAATTATAGGGAAAACGGGGAAAATTGTAAAATGTGGTTAATTAAATTGAACAGTGGCTCTGGCTTTGACGGCCGACGTTCGATATTGGTTACACTGGACCGCAATTAAAATTTAACGCTGTCCCACTCCGGATTGAATTCGAACAGACGTCGACGTCGCGACGCCCGTGTGTATACACGTAATCACAAAGGTAAGCGCACAGCGCAAAGCTGAGGCATTTAGCACAATGGAAATATATTTGACAAAACTAAACCGAATAAAATGTTATAACATCGACTATGGGCAAATAATAATAATCATATTTCACATTTAGTTTCCAATATATAGCACACTGTTCATTATTTTATGGGACTTCTACCAGGTCCACAGTCAGGATATACGAAGTGCCCCTGTTTTTTGTGTGAGTGGGACAGTAGAATCAGACAGCAGCATTGGGTGAAAAAGAATTGGCCAAAAACGGTTATTTCAACAACCGGATCAAAAAATATTCTTCACGGTAGTCTGATTGCCTCACGAAATGTTCTTCTACGACCGCTGTTGAGTTTTTGTTGCTTCAAATAAGGAAATAAAATGAAAATTAAGACTTTGTTTTATATTATGTTTTATATTGCGAGTACGGGGATTATTTGTTGATATCACGTCATCTTGGTGTAAATAATGCGCTGTAAAAGCGCCAATTATTTTTTGACCTTTGAAATTTGATCTTTCACTCTATTACCTTTATTGTTATTTTTTTCTTTTCTCTTACTTTTTCATTGATAATACTTCTTCTTCTTCTTCTTTCTTCTATAGTAGGCCTATGGTCTGTTCCTTCATCGGTCGCCTCTCAACCTGGATTGAGATCGTCATTCCACTGTTTTTTTCTTTGGAGCACCAGTCGTTCACGGCGTCCACTCTGCACGATTGCCTGATGTTTTCGTTTCTTTCTCTGTATAGTAGTGTTTTTCCTGAGATGCGGCGGAGAATCTTCATTTCCGTAGTCTCCAGAAGTCGTCTAGTTTGTGCGGTATCTGATTTTGTTTCTGCCGTGTAGGTCATGATCAGTCTGATCGTTGTTTTGTAGACTCGTACTTTAGTATGTTTTTTCAGATGTTTGTTACGCCAAATTACATCGTTTAAGCAGCCTGCCACCTTATTGGCTTTTGCTACCTGTTGCCTCACTTCATCCTACACATTTCCATAAATGGTAATGTCAATACCTAGATATTTAAACTGCATCTCTTGTTGAATTACTTGCCCGTCCACTTCCAGTTTACATCTGAACGGCTCTTTTGATGTGGTCATAGATTTTGTTTTTTGGGCTGAGATAGTCATGTTAAATTGATTGCCTGTGCGGTTGAAGATGTTTAAAAGTCTCTGCAAATCTTCTTCGTTCTCTGCGCATATCATTGCATCGTCTGCATGGCAGATAATTGTCACTTCATCATTACCCATTCTGTACCCTCTATCCAAACGAACTTTTTTTATCGCTTCATCCATAATTATATTAAATAATAACGGATTAAGAGAGTCTCCCTGTCTGATACCGTTGTTGGCCTGGATAGGTTTAGTTAACTTGTTATTAATACGGGCTTGGATGTTATTGTTCAAGTATATATTTTCTATCGTCTGGACAATATTTATGGGTATATTTCTGTTATACAATAAATCAAGTTGAACACGAGCAAATGCCTTTGTGAGATCAATGAAGCATAGATAGACTGGTTTATTATATTCTATGGATTTCTCTGTTATCTATCTTAAGACAAAAACTGGATCCACGCACGAGCGTCCTCTTCTAAACCCTTGTTGTTCATCTTGTAGCTACTTAGGACCATTGATTTTGTTGGTAAAATACATGATAATTGTTAATCCAAAGTCTCCTCTCACATTTCTAATCGTCACCCTACTGTTAGTTGCAGCTGTTTTATGTTTCTGATTTCATCAAAAATTGTTATGATTTGCACTTTGCACTTTGCAATGATGGCAGGTCATTAAAAAGGGAAAATCAACATTGGAATATACAAGACAATCCATTGAACAATGTTTTTCGGACAAAAGGGAGAGATCTTCGAAAATAATTGTACTTAATTATTGCTTGAGACTTTGTTTTTTAATTTAGATCTTTTAATTCAATTTTTGTTGTTGTGCTAATCAACCGAGAACTTCATTTATTAATTTTTTTATTGTTGATAAAAAACCTTACGTGACGGAGGAAAATGCTTATCAGATTTAAGTTTAGGTAGCCTAAATTATACAGAATCAAATGTCAGGTCTAAATAAACTTTTTAAAAGTTAAAGATTCTTGGCCTGTATAATATTTACATTAGAAGAAGCTGGAGTACTAGTTCCAAACACTATCGCTGATATAATGCGGTGGTGGTTATTAACACGTTCAATTTCTAGTGCGGTAACCGAACTTGTGGTGTCAGCTTTTCGTATATCGATAGGAATAGACAAAGGAAATTTGAAGGAAATTTACAAAATATTTCATTGCCTGCAAATGTTACTTTATTACAAGCAACTTGGGTGAATCCAGAGGTTTTGACCTTGATATCAATAGAGCAAAAAACCAAAATACAAACAATTTTTTAGCTAAACTTTAAACTGATTTTAGCAAATGATTACCAAGTGTTTGACCTTACGGATAGGTGGGAAGAAACTAAACTGCCTGATGTAGCCAAGTTGGTAACCGCATGGTTTTATGGGCTTATGCATACTGTCATTCAATTCATTCTGCGCAAAAAGTAGTCCAAAAAAGTTGGGCTAACACATTTCCAGAAAAAAATCTACCAACCTCACTTTCAAAACTTCAAGCGGAGGAAGAAAGAACTACAAAACGGGAGAAGAAAAGTATATACGATAAAACACGATAGTGACAGTGTGACTAGAATTCTACCTAGATAAAGCAACGAGAAAAGTTATCGGATGAATTTGAAATCAATAACGGACTGAGGCAGGATTGTTGCTTATCTCTAACCTCATTTAAAATATATTAAAACGCTGCTTTATTACTGGAGAGGAATTTACCGATACACTGCGATTGGATGAAGACGATGTATATCATACATGATGAGAAAATTAATTGACGCTCCCAAAGATTGGAGTCTCGCAATTAATCTACAGAAAACTCAGTACTTAGTGATCGGAGACGAAGGGCAGGATTCAAAAGCAAATCAGGAAACGATTTGAAAAAAGAAACGGAAGAATATAAATGTCAGGGTGTGATGATTACTAAAGATGGAAAAGACTATAAGCGCATCATAAAGAAAATTTCAAGGTGACCATCAATAACGAGCAAATTGAATTCGGTAATGTGGAATAAAAACAAAAAAATCCCACAAAACTGGGAATAATCGCTCCCTAATACAAACTTGCCAACATCAATTTATGGGGCAAAAATGTGGACGCTAGATGAAGAACTTATGAGAAAATAAAATACACTAGGAAACAACTTTTTAAATAGGTCCAACGAACTCTTAGACTAGACGGAGACCAGAATAGATAGTTGACAAGCGGAAAATACATTGGTGAACAGGATAGAAGAAAACAATTATCCTGATACGGCCAAAAAGTGTTTTAATTGGGTTTCTAATATAACAACTGGTTCCTATTTCAGCTTTATAACACGTTATGAGACGAACTCGACGAAATTTTTGAATTCAGTCGCAATCGTAATTTATTTATACAAAAAAGGGAAATAAAAAATACGCTTAAGACCTCCGTTCGGAAAGTGTCAGTGTTAAATTAATTTGCATAACGGACATAAAAATTATATTTTTGAACTATTTCTTTCTCAATTGAAAATAATTTTCTTTCTAGAAAATGGCGTGTTTAATACATGTAATTAGTAATTTACATTAATACCTAGTGTCGGTGTTTAATTATTAAATACAAATTTTATAAATTTCATAAATTTTCATAACACATAAAAATAATATTTTTCTTTTTTTTTAAATGTTATTGCTGAATTTTTTTTCTTTCTATACTTTAAGCAACTTTATTCATGTTTAAATATTTTTAGTTAGGAATTTATTATGTCAGTGTCAGCGTTAATTTTTTTTTTCTGAACTTTAAGCAATTTTCTTCATAGAAAAGGGCGCATTTAACATATTTAGGACTGCCTTTCATATGCAGAGGTATGATTACTGAGTAAGACCAGTGCTTTGGACATCAACCAGTTTGCCATATTGATTCAAATAAGCAATTTTCTTCATAGAAAAGGGAGCGTTTAACATATTTAGGACTGCCTTTCATATGCAGAGGCATGATGACGGAGTAGGATCAGTCCTTTGGCCATTAACCAGACAGGAAATTTCCATACATCGGATGGAGTGGTGCCGTGCCTTGTAGATTTGCAGTTATTTAAACTTTGGATTGCTTTGATCACCTCACTCTGTGGTCTGTCTGGGTCGGCTTCGTAATTGTCAAGCTCTCAATAATCCGCGTGTCAGTCGTCTCTGTGCAAACCCTGGCAGTAGTCCTCCCACACTTCACACAACTGCCTAAGCTCTGTTTTCAGAGAATGCTTCTTCTTCTACTGGTTGATTTGCGCTGGTATGCGATTCAATATCGCGATAAAGTTCCTCGTAGGAACATTCTGTCTACACATCTCGGAGGATCATGGACTCGATCGGCATTCATCTGTCTTCTGGTTTCACAGAGTTGGAGTGTCCTGCCAAAGATCCAAGGTTGTTCCTTATTTATATTTAGATTTATAGGTTGTTACTTTTGTGATAAAACCTTTTCGAATGTTTCCTCAGGTATATTTCGATTCAGTTTAAATTGGTCTTAGTTGAGTATTACTTCGAGCATGGACATAAAAAGTTGGTGGTCAGTGCTACGATCAGCTAATGAGCTGATGGTATGGTCTTTATATTGTACGTCGATGATCAGTGTCAGTGCTAAATTGATAAAAACCAATATTATATATAAAAACCGGCGCGTTTAACAAAGAATTTCAATAGTTAACAACATACAAAGTGTTTGAAACAAATTCGAAAATGTTGTTTATTAAGCACTCACAAATATGTGAAGTTTTGTCAAAACTCTAAAATTTATTATTATTATTATTTTATATATATGGAAGCTCTATTTCAAGCCCTTTTGAATGTTGAAAGGCAATTTTATATTGAATTGAAATGCCTGATGTTTCCAAAAGGCGCAAATAGTTGACCATGTCTACTGGTAACTGGAAAGTGTTTTACAGGGTAGATTCATCATATGCCACCGCAATATATCATCTTGCATGAGCTTCTGGATGTTTGAAATAGTTAAGTCACGTAATAGCAACTATATACATACAAGCCTTGAGAGTGATGCACAAATTATTATGTGCTATAATTCCTATGCTTGGATGTAATTAGAATAGAATTATCTGCCCATTATCTTTATTATTATCTTGTACGTTTATTCCATTAAAACAACTATTTTTCTTTTCCTTTAGTTGCGCTTTAATTATTAATGGGATTTGTATATAACTTATCCTATTTTTATTACATAAACATTTTTTAAAACAATATAGAAAAATAGCATAAATTATTTAAATTAACTCAAGGTGTTTTTCCTACTACATTGAAAATGAAGTGAGGTGACGAGAAAGTAGAAAAATCAACGAAAGCGGGCAGGATCATTAAGAAATATCGCTACATGACACGTAACCTCGTTAAGCCCAGCCTGGTTGAGTCTAATTTAGGAAGATTTATCATAGACCGGCGTAAGGTAATTCCGGAACGTCTACGATATAAAACACTTGTGGCGTGGCGATTTTTAAAGGCCAACGCCTCCGCAATTTGTATCATTTTGTCTACCAGTTTGTAACTGGTGACAAGCTAAAAGACCTAAACATGCCTTCATTTCGTGGTTAATGAATATTCATAGGGCTTTTTTATGGTCAAACGCCCACGTCGCCGACGTCGGGTTAAATTCCCTCTGCTTTCGTTCGCATGGGAACCCTGCGAGTGTACAGAGCGATGCGTCTCGCATGGTCGGATATTTTTTTTACTCTCGGGAAAAATGGAATTATTAACTGCACGAATTATAGTCTGTTTCATTGTAAAGAAACAGAACATTATTTATTTGTGTCCCTAACTATATAACATTTCATTTATTTATTTTTATTATTAATTGATTTTAACACAAAAACAGCGGGGCATGTACACATACCACGTGTACTTTTAGAAGAGATGGCACAAATTATGAATAAATGTATGGTTGATGGTGATGACATTTCTGAAATATTGGGTATACACCAAAAGGGAAGTAAAACTTCTTGTCCAATAGATAGCTTGTACGGCAGGATAACAAAATCGCGACTTGAACAAACTGCTGTGCATATTGAAGAGCACAGTGGTGTTCGCAGTGGAAGATTGTGTCTGCACACTCTGTAACGTCTGAAATTTTCCACTACCTCTTTCCCAATATTACAACACGACAAGCACCAGACAAGGAGTTCTTTGTACTTCATAGACCATCTTTTACATCAGAATTAGTACTAGAATATCACCGTGCCCTCTCCTTTTTTATGGCCTGCTATTTCGTTCTTATGTAACGCATCCAACGAATACCAGGTGTAAAGCGTTCTTTTATGTCGCTTCTGCATTGTATTCATTATTTAAAATTAAATTTATTATCGTTGCAAACCTGTATGAGCCCTTCTCCTCTCTCATTACGTACTTCGAACTTACCCACTTTCATACCAATGGGGTTGAGTCGACCCTAGCGTTAAGTTCAGCAATGATCATATAGATTTTGATCTACTAGGTTGTTTGTTAGTTCTCAATGGCATCTTTCACACGAAATTCGAGGCCGAATTGAAAAGAAAGAAATAAAATTTTTTATTCTAGTAATGCACACGATATAAACATATATACCATTAACCACTTTACTTAAAAAATGCATTGATACATCGGGGGTTTCTAAAGTACTTCCAATTTATAGGACAATTGATATAAATAAAACTAATAATCACAATTTCAATTGCATGGCAAATAGTTGGCAGTCCGTCAGGTCAGAAATTGACAATTATCTGAACTGGAAGCAGCATATCTCAGACCTGAAAAATTAACTCTCCGATAGTATCTTGGTTATTCACAGCTCAAGGGGTATAGTCAATCCTAAGACTCATATTATGGTTTATTTTTCCTCGTTGCAATCTTGTGTTATAGCACTGCATTGTGGGGTAATTTCTCAGTTTTTGTTGATATATTTAGAATGCAGAAGAAAGCCATTTGTGTCGTTGCCAATATAGAGATCAATGTCAACCCTATTTTTTAAAAAAATATGCCTGATGCATCCACCTTGCATCTTATCTACTATCAGTTGTTAGAAACACAAAGAACGAAAGGAGACTTCAACGCTAATTCTGATTGCTATGCTTATCCAACTCTTTCCGGAAATTTATTTAGGGGACCTAAGAGACCTAGGGGAAAAACTCTGGAGCTGCAATTATATAACCCTTTTCCAGGGACTGTAAGAAAGATGAGCAATAACAAAATTTAAGCTGCTAGCATACATTGATACGATTGAGGATTTTGATGTGTTACAGCAGCGTAGCTTTTGCACATGTTTTTTTTTCCTTTTGAACCTTCACTATATGTACCTATCAACGAATCTATTTATTTATTAAGATGGCCCCGCTCAAGATCGGTCTACTTTATGGTTTAGAATTTTGGATCACGACAGAAGTAGCAACGAAAAGACTAAACGCTTTCGAGATTTGGCTTGACAAATGAAGTACATACATACAATACATACATACATACAATACAAAATTTGACAAAAATAATTAATATAATAAAAATAACGAAGTCAGAATATTTAAGTCATAACATGCGGAGAGAGAAAAGATACAGAACACTGCAAGAAATTTTACTACATGGCAGGAGAAGAATTCCTTGGTTAGTTTGGGTTAGTTAGAACCTTAGAATTATCCACTCAGAATCCACCATTATTTTAATTATAAGATTATTGGTACGAATTCAAAAATGTCACAAAATATCAATACTATTCTGAATCCTCACCCAAATTTAAATGGAAAACATCTGTTAAAATATGAGAATAGCAAATAGGAAAGATTCTATTTCTAGTATATCTAGCATTCTAGCATACGAACGGGTTTTTGAAAGTGTCCACCCTTATACATTTTAGTACAGAATACGCTGAAGGGCCACCAAAAATAAAATACAATGAACAACAAATGCCCTCTTTAGAGTATTGGTATTGGTAGTGGTATTAAAGGGGGGGCGCCCTCGTGGGCGTCCAAGCACTTAGACCACCAGATGTGCCCCCAGACCGCTCTAGAGGGCGTCCCTCCTATAGAAGGTCAGCAACTCCTTTAGCCCAATACCGTGCACTGAGTCCGGATCGATCAAGGCCGTTCTGAAGACTCCCGATCTTGCCCATGTCAAAGCAGGGCACTCCGTGAGCAGATGATACGGGGTCTCTTCCCCTTCCATGCACCACCTGCACTCGGGGTCGTCTCCAATGCCTCGCAAGCAAAGATGCCTCCTAAGCCTGCAATGTCCTGTGTAAGCCCCTGTTAGTGCTCTACACTCCCTTCTGGTCGGTCTAAGCAGCTCCCTGGTCCGAGGGAGGGCAGGCACATCCATCAAAAGCCTCGCCTGCCTCATTCACGGAACAACTCTCCAGCCCACCGCGGCCCGGTCTCTCGCCTAGGCTTCGAGCTCCCAGCCTCACACACGGGCGATCCCCAAGCGGGGCTCTGCTCCCATATGCCTCCTATGCGAGGAGCCCTCCCTGGCTAAGGCGTCCGCTGCCTCATTGCCCCGGATACCGGGGTAACCCAGACCAATGTGACCTTCCTCTCCTCAGCCACTCTCCTCAGTAGCCCTTTGCACTCCTTAAGTGCAGCCCTACTATCCGAGCAGAAGAAGACCCTCCTGCTTCCGTGGTTGAGCCGAAGCACCTCTCTGGCCGCCATCAATAAAGCGAAAATTTCCACCTGAAACACAGTGCAGTACTGACCCAGAGGGACCGACAAGCTCGATCCAGTTTTCTCGCAGTACGCTCCAGCTCCGGCCAAATCTCCCATTCTGAACTTGTCCGTGTACCACACAAGTCCATACTAGGAGCCAACTCTGCCCTCTCTCCACTCTTCCCTTGATGGGAAGAGAAAGGTCCATTTGTCAAAGAAGGTCATCTCGGGGATCATCACTCGGCATGCCCATGACCCCACGATCCCTGCACCAGCCCTCTAGAATCTGGTACGGGCCCCGATTGAAGGTTTCCTCCCTCCAGAGCCCGCAGCTCGCCAGCCTCACAGCCGTCCTGGTCGCCTTCATCCACACCCGATCCGCCAGAGAGGGCAAACCCACCAGAGCCTCTAGGGCCCACGTGGGCGCGGTCCTCATGGGGCCCGTTATGCAGAGGTGAGCCAATCTCTGCAGTTTGTCAAGAACTAGCCTTGCTTCTGCTCTTTTGGTCCCCGGTCACCATGCCACTGCCCCATGCGTGAGCATAGGCACCACCATGGTACCGTAGATCTACTGCATGATCTTCGGCCCCAGACCCCAAGTGCCCCCTACCGCTCTCCGGCACGCCGACAGAGCTCCAAAGGCCGACCTGGTCCTTGATATTATATGTTCCTGGAAGGTCCACTTGGAGTCCAACCATACCCTTTAGGGAAAAATGGACTCTATGAAACAGAGAGGTTTATTTCGTTACCAGGAGTCTTTCATTTTTGTTTGCGTGCTGGGATACGGCCGGTCAGTTTTGATCAGCAAAAGGTATCACACTCGACAAGTCCAAATCGGAAGCACAGTTTTCGCAACCCGAGCGTTGCCAAGAAAAAAAGGAGATAAAAAATATCAAGGCACGAGCATGCAATCTGAAATAAGTAAAATGAAATTAGATTGGGTGAATGTTATTAAAACGTAAATATTAAAGAATAATAAAATATTCGAAAATATACCCCAAATATACCACTACATTGAATTTGGACGCAACAATAAGTGTTAGTTTACTACAGAACTTCTGAAAAAATTATAATTATAATTATTAATTATGATGTCAGAAATTATAATTTCTGAGATCAGTCAAAATTTCCGAGAAACGTGTGCAAATTTCTGACTTTCTGAAAAACAAGTCGGAATTTCTGACATAGGCCTGTGGTAACGGACATTGCGGGTCGAGGGATCAGATATATAGGGAAATTTTCAGCTTTCTAACTTACTTATTTGCAATTTAAAAAGTTCGATGTACTTTTTCTGATAAAAGATGAAAAGGTATACGGAGCATTAAGAAAATAATATTTAACAATAACAATTTTGGTAGTAGTAAGGAAAAAAATTCAATTCAAATGTTTGGCAAATGGGATTTCATAATATTTTGGTATCTAGTACCTCCAGTTCTGAGATTACTCGTTCCTATGAATTACCTTAACTATCTGATGTTTCGATTCGGAAAGCCCCTTACGAGGAAATAACTTGTTTCTCAACAATCTTGACTTGCTTCTCAAAAATTCTGACTTGTCTCTCAGAAATTCTGATTTAAAGATCTGGGGTTCATTTAAATCCCGATGTCACGTCAACAGAACAAACGTACAAGCACGTGACGTAACGCGACTTTGCACGTCTAATATATATGTATCTAGCTGACATCCTCCTTTTCCTAAAATGAAAAACATTAACATCTATTTGTGTCTATCCGAGCGAGTATAGATTGATGGATCTTTAGACTCTTTCGTAATGTCTTAATGCTTTATACCCTTGGTCTCTCCCTCAAAGTGACACACTCACAACTCTACTATTAATGTCACGTACCGCGATCTTCTATAGGCCTTTGTCCGGCAGCGTCATGTCAGTTTACAATAATAAAACAAGGATTTATAACGTAAAACTGTTCATTTTTGTTGCAACCATTTTGTTAGAGATATATTACTACTCCTAAAATATCCCGATGTCGAGTCGGAGTAGGTTCACAGAGTAGGCCGTTATTAAGGTGACTTTACACGTATATCATATTCCTACCTGACAGCGACGTATCTTTAACATATGACAGATAAGATGATTCTGAATCACGAATTTGGCTTCTTTAACCAACTTTACATGCAAAACGTTCTTTAAAATTTGAAAAACAGTAAATAGGAAAGGTTCTATTTGGAGACACTTAAAATTACGTCCCTGTACAATTATTAGTCTTCTCTTTTCGCGATAGACACTATTAATTTCCGTTGACCAAGCATCCTACATATCGACGCGATGAATTTAAACCGACTTTCTATCATCCCGCACTCCAGACAAACCTCCAAATTGGCAAATTGTCACCCCAAAACAAGACGTCCGCGCCCGAATTTCATAATCACAAAGTAAAAACCTAACGACCTATTCGTCCGTGACGTTTCCAAAGCCTGCCGAACTGAAATTACGCCGCATTTAAGCCCTAAAGGGGCTCTCCCAAAACGGATACCCATACGTATCGTCATTATATCAGCGGCTCCAAATCGCTATAAATGCGTATTGAAATGCCGCAATCAAGCGACGCGACGGCTTTTTCGCTCTGATTGCGTGCATTCTCTTCGACGACAAGTTTGGTCCTGCGTAGTTGGGGGTGGGAATATTCGACGACTGAGGGAGGAAGAAGCTGGCAATTATATTTGCGTCGTTGGATAGCGGAGGATCCGGGTTGTCGCGGGACACGGTCAGCGGCGGAGAAGGAGAACAAAAGGGACACTTCCACTGTCGAGGAAGTAGACTTTTACGTCGGGGGTGGGTTTCTTATGAATTGTATTCCGGGTATTTGTGCGCGTTAATCCCGGCGAAGAGGCAAAGGCTCTGCGGGGACTCCGATTTTGTAAAGAACATTTTTTGTGCTGTGCACTCGGTAGTATAGAGGGTGTATAAAAAGCTATACACCGAGTGTCCCAGTAAGCAAATTTGAAAAAAAATATATTAAGCAAATCAGCAAAGAGAAAATGCCGGAAATAATATTTGAGACCACCAGCATAATTGGCATCTCGAATTTTAAAACCCATTTTCTGCAAAATTTTGTTATATTTAATTCTAAAGCTTTTTGTTAGATGCTTTTTACTCTAAGGAAAGTTAGGGGATGCTTCTACATTTCCGGAAATAAATGTGGATAACACCAAAATGGCTTAATACTGTCATTAATAAAGGCTTCTGCTAGTCCGTTAAACTAGTTATAAGTGAGATGCGATTGATTACCCTGCCATCCGATGGTGTTTTCTGATTTAAACGTAACAAAATAATTTTCTCGTCAGATAAGTCAAATAAGAACCTCACAACCCAAAGAAAAACGGCAACATTGTAGAAACTAAAAATTGATAACCATAAAATACAAGAAAATTTATTGCAAAGGTCTTTATAAATTTTCAAAATGCCTCCCGTCATTTTCTATGTAAGAATATATAATTTCAGCTGTTGAAAGGCTTCCTACAGCATTTCGGATACAATCATATACATATACATATATGTTTTCAGGGGTAGTATTATGATAAAAAAATATGTTATATTCTACCCTAAAAGTAAAATCCATTACCATATGATTTGGAGATCTGGCAGACGACGGAAACAAACTGCCTCTTCCTATCCAACCGTTTGGTCTTTAGAGCGTTTTCTAATAAAATCAGCAATTCGACCACCCAAAATACCACACCGAATTTGATTATTTATTCGCTTCAACCACCCAACTATAATTCACTGGCGACCAATAATGCATATTATGCAAACTGACTCCCCATTGCTCCAAAGAGTAGCTTCATCGGTTCATAAAAAAAGTGGAATCCTCATATGCCATAAAATTTTGCCAATTACAGTAGTCCAATCTCCTATCAAAATCAGTTTCTAAAGGAATAAGGGTGTTGACAGTACTGTTGTCTTTTAGAATTGGTGTACCGATATTTTACTAATATCCAAGTCCAAGCTTATTTTTCTTAAGCTTAATTTGGAAATAGGCAAGAACATTAATGACAGTGTCTTCGTTCCTAACGCTTCGATTTCTTCTAGGCACTAGAATAGGCTGAAACATAGCTACAAGGTGGCTATGATATTTTCGTAGAGAAGGTGTGGATCTTTTGCGCATGCGTCATCCCCCAACTGACTGAGTTGCCACGTTGCCCTAATTTTTCTGGAAATAATGACTAATTTTTATAGGAATGCAAAACCAGTCTCTGAAATCCGAATATAATATATTGCCAGAGAATGTGCCATTGTTCTTTTCATTTTTGGTGTTTGGGTTGTAACTAATTATTTTTCATTTAACAAACTGCAAAATAGGCTTGCATAAAAATGTTTACATGTCAGTGTACTATTATAAACAGAATTCCCTATATTTAAATACCTACATAGTAAGGATGTGTAATTACAGGTGATATTACATGTAACTACAGGTAATATTAGAGGAAACATAGAAAATAGTTAAGCTGCAAGTTTTATTAAAACAAGCACAAGAAATACCTCTTGACAATTACAAATTCTTGTAGAACTCAATATGGGAAAGTTTTCGTGTGTCGTCACAGAAATTATTCCAGCAGAAAGTGGGAAATTCCCAGGACTAGTTCAGCTGAAACAGAAAGAATTTAAACGATATATCTGCAGAAGTCTGAATGCATTACAGGAAATGTTTGACAATTATCAGGAATGCTAGGCAACTATTCAAAATTTTGGGGTACTTCGTTGGTAGGTCACCTACCTAAGTGAGAATACTGCGGTACATACACACACAATTTGACATTGATTAAATAGATACAGTTTTATCAATAAATACTGATTTTGTAAATCTGCTGTTGGATTCTTGAGCAGGAAAAATAATATATGCCCAACTTGAGAAGAAGAGATCTTGATTTGTATCCGACTGTTTTCCCAACCCTTTCTTGGCTTGAGAGTGAAGTATGTCCTTGACACGTAAGTTTCACCTACCTCCCTTGAAGGACTAAATATTTAGTATAGGCAGTTTTTGGGTTATATATCAATGTTCTTTATCCCATTTTTTTAATAGATTTCCATATATGTCTATTTCCTATTTTTGATATAATAATCACTTACCTAGTGTCATTGAATTTACATTATATTTTTTAGTTTACTCAAGGATGAAAATGGAGCTGCTATGGAAACTGTTAACTTTTGAAGAGCATCTATATGTGGGGATCACATCACTCCTTTAAGTTATAGCAGAGGTGGTAAACGCTTGATAAAGTAGGCAGTGCCGTTTCTTTTAGGTAGATATTGTTATTAGTTGTACATCCCGTTACTTGTTTTCTGGTCATTCTAGTTGTCGATGGTACAGTCCATATTTAGAGTGCCAAATAGTAACTTTTTTTCATTTTTTTTTAACTTTTTAACTGTTTCTTTTCTGATGTATACCTAACCCGACTGATAAAAAGTATCAAACAATT